TTTTGTTTTGTGTGTGTTTTAAATAAGGAATTTGGTAGTTTGTCATATTGCGTTTTAGTTATTAAGAGTATTAGTCAGCAAGTGCAAGTTGGAATTGGAAGGGAAAGAAAGCAATATAATAAAGTGTTAAGTTTCAGTTATTTTGGAAAGGGAACTGCCAGAGAACCGAGAGAATTGTTTCAAATAAGTTCTTGATTGTACAAATGAGCCTGTACTGAGTGATTGATCCACAGCTGCTATATTAGCACCATTGGATTTTGTGAGTTTTATTCTTATAATTCCTTTTTATTAATGTTGATTAGATTACAAAATAGTTTAGTTATTTCAGGTCTTTCGCACTGTTTTTATTGTGGTTTAATGCGATTATCCATAATTAATGCAGAAAATTAGGACTCTGGAGCTAGATGGGAAGATAATTAAGCTTCAAATTGTGAGTTCATATGACTTAATGACTACTCCATAGTTATGAACATGAGTTAATTTGATCTAATGAATACTCTATCGTTGTGAAATTATAAAAACATGTATATGAATATTATTTTAGCTGTATGTGCTATTCCTTTATGGTTTTGCTACCTGTAATATGTGCTTCATGCAAATAAGTATCGGAAAAAGAAATCAACAGCTCTTAGTTACTCTTTTTCTCAAATGATACTACTTGTGTCAAATTGAAATGCTAAAAGAAATATGTTATGGCACCTGGATAGTCTTGCATAGGTTCAAGTGTAGAAATTAATTTCAAATTATATCTTTACTAATTTCTATGATATGTCACGTTCTTCTGCTGATATTTGTTGATTACAGGAGACTTGAGGGGTAGGTTGGTCTCTGTTTGATATGGGATGTTAGGATCTAAATTGACAATCGAGGGATAAAGTTTCTGACGACAATTTCAAGAGCTGTGTCTACATACTTTCTGACTGTAGGGAAAATAGCTATATTTGGTGCACACGTCTTATCCGCTAACGAGTTGAGATCAGACTACGACCTCTTTTCCTTAGAAAAGAAAAGGAAATAGTTTATATAATCTAATTTAATCGTCATTCAAAATAGGTCTCATTTTTCATTCAAATACTACACAACCAAATTATAACACTATTACTTACGCTACATCACCTACTATACGTGCAAAGCACGTGCCTTCACTAGTTTAATACATATGTCAATAAATATTCACAATAACAGCCACCTTTTGTGAATCGTATCACCAAAGAATATTGTTATTCATAGTAAAGAATATCGACAGTCGTCCTACATGACATATACGTGACAATTTGTTATTTGATGTACAAGGATCAAATAATAAAATGTTATGTGTATATCACATAGGCTTTTCACTATGAATAGCATTACTCCACACTAGGTATCGGGGACATTAAATTTGTAGTAATATTTTTTATTATCATTTCGTCTGCTGGCGTTATTTCTAGACCACGGAAATATTATAGTTGGCATGGTATTAAAGCTACACCGCATGGCACGCCTACCTCAACTACTTAATTAATTACAAGGGCTTTTTCTTTATTTACAAGCTTTCTTCTCTCTTTAGCAATAACAAAAATGTCTGATCATCAAAAGACAGCTTCCATGGAAGAAGATGCTTACAAGAAGCTGAAAATCGTGCCAAACCCTGATGGCTCAATTACGAGACTCGACTCTTTTCCAACTCTACCGGCAAATCCTGAAATTGAGGTTAACTCAACCACCCAAGTCGTCATTTCCAAAGATATACCTCTCAACGCCACTAACGGCACTTTCATACGCCTCTTTCGGCCTAAAAACCCTCCGTCAAGCACCAAGCTTCCACTTATCGTCTACTTCCACGGCGGCGGATTTGTTTTGTACAGTGCAACGACTAGTTTTTCCCATGAATCATGCAACCGCATGGCGGCTGAGTTCCCCGCAGTGGTCGCTTCAGTCGAGTATCGTCTGGCACCGGAACACCGCCTACCGGCAGCGTATGATGATGCGATGGAGGCTATGATGTGGGCTAAGAATGAAGCTACCATTAGTGATTCTGATCCGTGGATGAAAGAGTTTGCTGACTTTTCTAAAACTTTCTTAATGGGGAGCAGTGCGGGAGGCAACATAGTGTACAATGCAGGCCTACGTGCACAGGACGTTGATCTTGAACCAGTGAAAATCCAAGGGCTGATAATGAATCAGCCATACTACGGTGGGGTGCAGAGGACCCAATCAGAGCTTAAACTCATCAATGATCATATTGTTCCTCTGCATGCAAATGATTTGATGTGGTCATTAGCATTGCCAAAGAATGCTGATAAAGATCATGAATTTTGCAATCCGTTGATTGGTGGGTCCAATGATGAGAAGATCCAACGGTTGCCAATGTGTATGGTGAGGGGGTATGAAGGGGACCCACTGGTTGATAGGCAAAAGGAGTTTGCGAAGATGCTGGAGGCACGTGGAGCGCACGTGATATATAAATTTATTGATGGAGGTCATCATGGTGTGGAGATATTTGATCCAAATTTTGCTAAAGCTTTGTACGATGATATTAAGTATTTTATTAACTCTTGCAACTAAATGTCATGGTGCAATGTCACCTATGTGATTAGTTGAAGATGTTAATGCTTTAATTGTGGTTGTTTGGATTTGTCAATGATATTGTTGATTATAATAAAAACTATCTTATTTTGATGTTCTTGCATTGAATTTTTTTTTTTTTTTTTAAGGAGGTGTTCTAGCTTGCGCCAGACTATATCCTCGTCCCTGAACCTCCGGCCCCTCAGCAGCTCAAGGAGGTAAATCGTGGGATGTGCCCTTGTTGGTTTCTAGGTTCCCACACGACTTTTACTCATTCTCCAAAGAGAGCCTCTTCACTGCTTTACAGCAACTTACCTTCCAAGATAAATCTTGCCTTCCAGGAATCGAACTCCCCACGCTTGGTTCCAGAGCCCCCCAATGTGATTGTTCCACCAACTTGGATCTGCTCCGGGGGGCTTCTTGCATTGATTCTTCATATGGAATCTATCTAATGGTAGGCTCTAAAATTGACTTGCTTTTATAGGGACACCATTACTACGATCTCTCCTCTACCACGAACTTTTCCGCGGCACTGAGTGGTGGAGAATGGGAAGGTGGGTTTGGCATAGGTTTCATCACCAATGCTAAATGAGTAGTTTTATTTATCATTAATGTGATCATCATCAGTTTAGGTAGTTATGAACCATTTATCTATAGTTAAAAGAGGTAAAACACCGGCATAGACACACGGACGTGGAAGGCAGTGTGTGTGAACTCCAAATATGCATCACTAGGTGCATGCATACGAGTGGTCACCCTGTTTATGAAACTCTAAGGCCTTCTTGCCAGCATCATTCGACAAGGATACATATTCGGATGGGATGGTGAATTAAGTAATGTTATATAGCATCACAGGTACGTTTTAATTCTCTCAAATTTATCGTCTCAATTTGTACATATTCTTTTTTTCAATCAACTCCAGTCCAATTCATTAGACCTTTTAGAGGTTCTAACCAGGGATCACACAGATCCCAAAAGCACATAATTTCTCCTAAATATTTACCTAAATCTGTAGGTTTTTGAACAATTCTACATTAGCCCCAAGACGTTGATTGATATCTAACTAAAAAGGTAAATGCTTGGGCTTTAGACAAAATTTTCCACGAGTAGTCTCTGCTTCTTAATTCTATCAGACTATACTTCTAGTCATTGAACTTCGTTCAGCCCAGCTGGAAACTTGGGCCAGATATTTGATTAAAGTGATAAATTAGGTTGGCCCTATTTTAATTTACATTCTGAAAAATCGTTCACTTCATTTATCAATTTATCCGGTAGTTGATTAATTAAATAATTTAAACATAAGAAAAAATGAGATTAATTACACCATTTCAACCCAATTCTTATATTCACGCAATCATTCCAAATCCCCAATATGAAAATTTTTCATGAAATCTATCTCCGAATCACGTGTCATCTACATACCGTATGAATATTAGTTACATCATGGTTAACAATTATACGCATGTCACGTTCAATATATTCAGTCACAATTCAGCAAAATTGAATCACAAAGTTTAGAAATACTTTGATAGCTGCGTACGGTCTATTTGAAGACGTTTTGACAGCAACATATTTGATTTTGTGCGATTCTTATCCCTTCAAATCTCATTTTTTGGAAGCTTTGATCTTTTGAATTGAATTAGCTTAATTCAATTTCCTTCATGGGGGAAAGGAAAGAATTTTTCATTGGTACTATATTTGCAATGGCCAAGGCAAGAAGTAGACGAAGTAGGAGAAAATTCTGTTAAACTCTAAGTTGTAGAAATAAGTTGGAGAAATCGTAACAATCTATGTAGAAGATCAAACAAAACCCGTTAATGAAGATGTTCATGGTAACTTGAAAATAATAACTTCATTGTGTATTTCAAGGCACGTGTTTGTGATTTCCTTAAGAAAATATTTGTCCACACTTCGATGATACACACGAATAAGCAAAGATGCTTTCGTGATACAGTAAAATCCGAATATACTATCTGCGTTGTATAATAATAAAGACAACCCCGAACACTAAGGAGAGAAGAAGCCAATATAGCCCTTGTTTAGTACATAAAAATTAGATTTTTAGTAGAATTTAATAAAAGTGGATGGAATGTTCATACAAAGTTGTAGATCTCATGAAATATGTGAGTAAAATTAATTGTTGAATTTGATTTAAATTTTAATCAACTTTTTTAGTTGAACCAAACATGAGCATAGGCAAGCTCGTGTTTGTATTTCCGAATTACAGAACACGAATATACTTTGAAAGGGATTGAAAGCATGTTTCAAGGATGAAGGAGAATTCTATCGTCCCAATAGACGTAGAAACTTTGCATCGTCCTAAAGCATTGGGCAATTCACGGTCACCAAATGTGGTTTCGAATGGTCAAATCACATCTACGTCATATTGAACGAACATCTCATCACTTGTAAGCTTGTAAACGTGTCCTGCAACATCCAAGCACGACATTAATTTGAAATTTCTCCAACGTTGTTTAGAATTTTGTTATGGGAGGAAGTTTAATTTGAGCTACATTGAAAGGTCTTAAAATGGAAAGAGGAACTTTATTTGTAACTACTTAACTACTTTCTGGTTACCATCATAATTCGTTACTCCTGTTTGTTTGTTTGTTTTTAGTCACCAAATTCTAATAGAAATATCTTATTTTCCAATTTTCACGGAGAATAATGATGTTTGTGCAGAGTGGGAGGCCAAATAAATATATGGATATGAGATCCCCGTTGAGAAAAACGGGGAGATTAATATGGTACAATATGAAGTATAAGATTACAAAAATAAAAACAAGATTTAAAATGAAGAAGAAAAGAGACTAATAGAGTAATCGGTGTTTTATTAATGACAACCAATAAAGAGAAAATAATACAAACTTAACAATAATGCTTTTACTAAATTGAGTAAAGGAACCATATTTTTATAGGGGACATCCCAAATCTCAGAAATAATACAAGATATGGAAACTAGGTAAAAAAAATTGCGTAAAATCGAAATAATAGACGGTGCTATGGCTCGAGCGAGAGTGAGGACCCTGTCGCTCGAGCGACAGCTCAACGACAGGTGAGTGACATGCTCGTTGCTCCAATTTGCTCCTGTCGCTTGAGCGGCAAGCTAACGACTGTCCAGCGCTGTCAACATGACTTTTCACCCAATTGGACCCTACTTTGACATCTTCAAGCCCAATATACAAAACGCGAAACCCAAACCCTAATTTGGGTCACAAGTCTAACAGATCCAATTTATTGATCTTAATTTATCATTTATTGTCACATGAGATGGAGATCACTTCCGAAGCCAGTCAACCCTCTTGCTCAACCAGACGACCATGCCTGCTGTAGAAACTGGAAGGAGCAGGTTTTTTAATATAATCGCTAACCTGAACTCTTTCTTTGGAATCTAGGACCATCGAAATATATAAGAAGAATTTTAGGTCCAACACCTGCTAAGTAAATATTGCCAAAACCCCTTTGTACTTATATTTATATTTTATCTCACTTTTACTGGAATCATATTTGGCCTCTCTCCTTACTGTCGTATGATGACAATTATCAGTAAGCGACATCACAGCCCTTTCATCATAAAAAAGATTTTAAAAAATAATAATAATAATTACAAGGCCTAAAGATCAAGATCTTTCAAATTTGTCACATGGATGCGCGATAATTTGTGGAAAATATAGGTAGGTATTAATATATGGAGCCGAAAAATATAATACAAAAAGGAAAATCTATCGAGGGTTCTCAAAATCCTGACCTCACTATATATCTGCATCAATGAGACAAATTTGTTGCTTTGTTTTCTAATGCATGTATGGGTTGGATACAGCTAGATTCTATTGGCCTCTTCCTTGGACAGCAATGGAGTCACAACATAATTGAGAGATGCTTATATACACACATATTAGTAGAGATTTAGAAGTATGTTATTTGATATTTCTCTACTTTGCGATCTTCTATCTTTAATAAGGTATAAAGAATGAGTTCATTGTTTTCCATCCAATGAAGTTTGTTTTCCCGAAAATAAGTAATCAACTTATTAGAAAGTGAACTAAAAATCTGATTTTAATCCTCCAAACAAGAGCCACTACAAGAAAAATGACTTTTGCCGACCAAGAAATTGGTTGCTAAAAGCCCAATATTAGTCAATCATGAGTGGTGATAGTAAACATAGGCTGACCTATTAGTTGGTCGGCAATAATATACATTTGCCGACTACGAAATCAACTAGTCGGGAAATAATGAATTTGTCGACCAACAAAATTCAAGGCAGTAAATTTGGATTGTATTTTCTACAATAATTTTAGTCGGTAAATATGACTTTTTTTTTTTTTTGAACCTGTGCGATAATCAAAATTATAAGGTAAATTAAAAGGCCAACTCCAACACAATATACCAATAAAAATTTCAAAATAAAAAACATCTGAAATCAAAAAACAATAGTCACACCCAAAAGCCTCTAGCAAAATATTTACAAGGCAAAATAATATGGATAATTCTAAGTGTACATAATTTGGTTTACCAAATGGTTTACCTACTCTCACAAGTACGTGGACCTCGCACACCCCTATTGTGAGTGTATGTAAAGCATTAGGTAAAAAAAAATTAGGTACATCTAGCATAGTCCAAATAATATATAGCATCTTTACAAGTCAATTCCAATTCCAACTATGAAAACACATATAGTCTAAACTATAATGGAATCCAAAATAAATAGCCTAGCCAAGTTCTGAAAATTTGATAAGACTAGTTTCATTACATATTTCTCCCTAGTCACAGGATGGATCCAGCCTTTTGTATCCTTGTAATGTGTGTTCTTCCATATCTGAATTCACAAAAATGTATTGGAATATGAAGTTCCTGTTGTGAGCAACCAAAAGCAGAATGCTGGCAACTTAGATCATTAAGGATATGCGTACATGTCAATGAAACATTCACACACATTCAATATATGGAAGAGTGACTGTCTAATATGTAGTTGATAGAAAATGAAGCTAGTGACAATTAATTTTGGTTTTTCATAAGAACCATGTAATGTAGTCATGTTTCAAGAAATTATACACTGAGAAATTTGCAGTTAGATGACATCTAATGAACATTGAGAACATCTGTATTGTTCTTTC